GAGGACTTTTTTTTTTTTTTTTTATAACAATGGGATCCAGACAGCACCTGCTACAGTCCTTAAACTTTGCCCTGAACTTGATACAAGCATTGAAATGTAGTAAGATCAGAAATGTAAACATATTAGACAAGGACGAAACTCAGGAGAGGGGGAAGTGTTTGGGAGCGTGGAGTGATGGACAAACACAGATCTAAAGAGGGGAAATGTAGCATAAAGATACTGCAAACAGTGAAAGAGCACACATTTTTCATTCACAATTAAAACTTGTCCCCCTGCCAAACAATTCAAAATCAGCAGGACTGACGGTAACTGTTTGGTAAGGATTCGTGTTTGGTAACAAACGTTCTCCAAATGAGTCAAAATGGACAACAGCTTACACTTATTTTTCCCTTGATGTTTTCCCTTTCACTCCAGGTCTTTCCCTCATACTGTACAGTGTATGTTGGATAAGACTCCATCTGCAGGTGTGGACTGTGGCTAAATCCTCAACAAGAAACCAGCCTTGTCTAAATAGATAAAAAGGAACAACACCTGTCTACATCAGCCCAAATGTACTAACAAATAAATCGAATCAGAGCTGCTGTAAATCATCAGAATCACAGGGTCAGAATAAGTTTCAAAGCACAGACGAGTTTCACATTCTCAAAGACACGAGGGCAGACAGTTATTGATGAATATGAAAGACTGAGTCGCTGCCAGCAGCGTCATCTATTGAGGCACTGTATGGAGTTAACAGCCGCCTAAAACGGGGTCAAGGACCGAATAAAGGAAAAGGCTTAACACGTTAAGACAAACAGGCCCAAAACTAAATGAATATATGGCTATGTTACAGAATAGTTAGCAGTTTAACAAGCGAGCGATATGTTTCTATTGCATTTGATCAACTTTTTGGCTCTGTCTCCTCTATTGAACAGACTAGCAGACACCACTAAACAACTAATCATTCTGCATCTCTACACAACAAACACACACCTGCATTAAGTGACAAAAAGGTGCAACGTCTGCATTTAACTTTGGGGTCTGTGTGTAATGGTGGAGTAAGTCACACACACATCAATCTCATTTGAGGACCAAGGTGCAATTACAACATTTTCTCACATATTCAGTAAGCAGTTCTACTTTAAAAACTACTCTAGTAGGTTGAGACTAACATAAATCGAATACTGAAACAAAATTAAAAGGAAACCACTGTATCAGGCCTGTTGTCTTTTGAAGCTAGCATCAGTGCACAGCTTACACTTAGATCTTTAAAAAGAGCATTACAAATAGGCCAAAAGCTCAAAACGGTCGAAATCACAGGTCTGAGGCTAATTCTGGCTCATTATTTTCATTAAAAATATGAATGCAGTACTTTGTCTTTTTAGATACAACTAGTTAAACTACATTTAGTTGTGTGTGGTTCCATTTTAGTTTAGGTAAAAGTTATTCTCAGTCCTGCCAGCAGGTGGCAGAGATGAGCTCCAGTCCTTAAAAAGGGGCACAAACAAGGTTTTGGGTTTTGAAATGAGGATAATATTCAGTCAAGTTACACATTTACTGTGAGGTTTGAGTTGGCCTCTCCAGTCTGAAAACTGACTGTTAAGTTGGTGACCAACCTGAGTTTTAAACAAACTGCAGTCACACAAAAAAAGATGACATGAATGTGCCACACCAGTCATCATAATGACCAGACAATCACCAATTGGCTTTTACTACATCAGGAATTTCTAGTTAAAGAAAAATATTGCTTATAAATGTGTCATTAGTTAGTCCTCAAGAAATGTTTCTGACTGCCAGATAACGAGTAATGACGTTTTGCATCCATCTTAGATCCTTCTACCTTTGGGTGGAACAGGTTGATATTCTGGTCTGGACTTTGAAGTGTGACCGTCTTCTCCAGAACTCCAGTTGACAAAAAGTGCTCGTCTGTGATGATGGCGCTGGAGCTGAAGGTGAAAATGAATATTCTGCGGACCATCCCTTGGCTTCACTTTCCTCCCTCTCTACTAATTCTACTCTCCCTCTCCTCCTCCTCTCCATCAGTCTCCTCCATGGCTCTCTTGCTCTCTTTATATTAGTGTGGCAACGGAACGAGCACCTCGACGTAGTTGAGAGGGAAGAATCCCGACTGGCCGTTCAGCATGCCCTCGTACCAGTTCTCGTCGATCTGATTGGTCAGGGTGATGATATCGCCCTCGCGGAAGCCCAGCTCTCCCTCGTTCTCTGGCTCAAAGTCGTACAGCGCCTTACAGCTCGGCTGCTCCGGGGCTGACAAAACACAAGGAGAGGAAGAATGAGGAAGGTCTCAAGACACGGTGGGGGGTAGTGCCGGTTTCAGAAAAAGGTTGTCACGCTGCACACCTTAAACATGTGATCTACTGTATATACTGTAGATCATACTTGTGCTTATAGATGTGTGTTAGTACAGGCAGGTCAGCATCCACACACCACGGCAAAGAAGCTCAAGACTGCTGGCAAGTTACATTTTTGACCACAAACCACAACATCCTATGACACCAGATTTCTATATCCGTTCTCCTCCCTCCATCTATCCCTTTCTCTGTGACCTCACATAGATCAGCAGAGCAGAGTGGAGCTCCACACACAGACAAACTAGGCTTTTTTGTCTCCTAACAATTTTCTCATTGTATCAAGTTTACCCCACAGGCTGCAGGGCAGGCTCGAGATGGGGAAAGCTTTGGTCACTCACTCTCTGTGTTTTACTAGATACTGTATTATTATACAGGGGAAGAAACATCACGTTAACACTGAATTCAATAGAATCACTTAATGAAAATGACAAATATTTCTCTAAAGGTAGGAGAATAAATGCCAATTGGTGGCAAAGAAGTCTGATGTGCAGTTTGATAAACTGACAAATAGTAAAATACTGCTAATTAGCTTTTAAGCTAATATGATCCACTTTTCCATCAGTACGTGTTTCTTTGAAGATGATGGAATTCTTTATTGTTTGATATTTTGTTCTATTCATCTGTGTTTTGACCTTGCCATCTACTCTAAACTCCTATACTATAAATTATTAACTGATTTATTGGCCACTTGAGGGCAGCACAACATTTACTGTCATATCAATATTGAACTTGTAGCAAACAGTTACTTACAGCTGTTATGGAACATTATCATGATGTGAGTCATGTTATGGCCACCAGACACATTAAAGTCCAATATGTACTCTGTTCCCCACCCAACTCCTGAGGGAAATACCCATTACTTTAGCAGGTAAATATTCCACCAGCTAAGTTTAACTGTCTCTACTGTTTGGTGCTGAGCAGTTAGTGTACAGTGTGTTTTTAAAGAGATTTCTCAGAGTGGTGAGAGTGAACCAAAACAGTGAAGTTGCAGTCCAACAGCTTAACAATGAGCTGAAACTCACTATAAGGCTCTGTAAAGCCGAGGGCAGCTGCAGATTTAGCTGATAATTTTCTGGTTCTACAAGCGAACCCCTTCCACACTGTCATCTGATACATTGTTATATATAAACATGATATCAGCTTAAAGTAAATAGGAAATTAATTGTAAATAGAGAAAAGCTGTTGCTCCTTAGTTCATTTCAAAGTAAGTTGTTGACACATTGACACATAAACACAAACAATATGGTGTAAACAAAAAGCAGAAATACTGCTGGGTGATACAAACTAAAACTTACCAAGCAACTCTCTGTTGTGCAAAAAAAAAGATAAATATTGCCTGATTCAAACGGCTTAAAGGTGACCTTATTACTCCTAATGACACTGATAATAATTCTGATACTAACTGAAATATCACTACAAATAATAATCAATAACTTATTATAACTCTGGCAACAGTTTGCTGTTTGTTTTCTTCATGGTAATTAATACTCCTGCCATGAACCAAAGCACTGGCTTCATAACTTTCTAACAGTAGTAATAATAGCAGTAATATTTAATAATATAGCATTCTGTAACAGAAAAGGTGGTTTGGAAGTTTGTCATTTAAAAAGACCCTGGCTGTCCTTTTAGGGTGAGTTAAATAACAGCTTTTTTAAGTCAGTTGTAGAATGAGCCAGTGATTGTAGATGTTTTAGTAAGTAAGGTTCCAGTATCTAGAGTACAGGATGTGGATTTCATACAAAACCACAATCATACTAAGAAACAAACTAAATTCTGCTTTCTATATTTCACACTCCCTGCGCCGTTTCAACACCAAAAAACGGCCCACACTATATATGACTCACGCAATCCGGGTTTCCGAAAGGACAATCTGGCAGAGTGAAAAGACGGCTCTGATGATGTCATAAGAAAGAGGAACAAGGTCAGCTGGAGAAAGGCCAGTGAGATGACAGGACACACACACACACACAAACCTCCCTCCCCACACGCAGAAACAGACGTCCATTTTCTCATGGTCAACAACTGAGTGCATTCGAGAGTCAAACATCCAGTGCATGCCACCATTTACAATGCTTCAATCACGCTACAGAGAAAAAGACTGTTTCACATATTTCTGCTCAGTGGTACTAATTGGTAGCAGGTCTTGAGCAATCATGCTGGCAATCACACGCTACTCTGGCTTAGTCCATCTTCTGTGCGTGTAGAAACAGCTGGATGCTTTGTTGTTGGAACTCAGCTCTTCTCTACATATCTTACACTGCCCTCAATGTGGCATTCAATGTGATGTAATTGCAAGGATAAATATAAAATAATGCAAGACAGTTTATTTTGTTCTTTGTTTTGTCAAGACATCATCAGTTTTCTGGTGCCAACAGTACAGTCAGCCACTTCGTCATTTTGACATGATGTTTAGTTCAAATTTATTTTAACCAAGTGTTCGTGATAAAATTACAACATGTTGTTCTTCACTAACGTATATTAAAAACATACCTGAGTTGCGTGAAGGTGGCAGCGCCATTGAGGTTGAGTAGCCGCCATTTGAATGGTTATCATCCCCGAAGTCAAAGATTGGCTTGGGTTTAGGTGTGTATTCACGTCTTGGTCGAGTCTGAGCCTCATTCATCCTATTAAAAAAAGATTAACTGATTTAAGTTCCACATTTCCAAACCTCCACAGTAAATACAACATGATTAGTTATTGTGGCTGAAACAGAATCAGACCTGAAAAGCTCAAATGAGAAAGCTGCACAGTTGGATATACTATATAGTATGTTGGTATTTGTGTGCATCAGGTTTCATTACTGCACCTGTCTCTGAGTTTGTCAGAAAGCTCCTCCAGCACCTGCACAGCCTGTCTGTGGTACTGTAGCTGGGACTCCACCAGAGATGACAGCTGGCTCACCTGCTCTATCTACACACACACAAACACATGTAAGAATGCATTTAATACACAAGATAATCAATGCCCCCTGTAATAAAACACAAAGCAGTGCATTGCATATAACAAAACTATGACTTCCTGCACCAAGGTTAAGTGATGTGTTCCACAGGGACCAGTACGCGGCCCACTCTTGTGTCAACTCGCTGCCATTTGGTCACATTCTCAAAAAATGTGACCTCAGCTGGTTAAATTAGAGGTTTTTTTAAGAGAGATTTTCTGGAGTATTCAACCTTATCTCAAGCTCGTAAGCAGACCTTGAGTTAAGATAATTAGTGACAGCCACAAATTTATGATACATAGTACTTAGGAAATGACATAAAAGAGGCTGACACAATAGAAATAACAGGAAATATGGAACAGTCAGACTTCCCCCCAGTAGCACTGGTCATATTCACACTGTCAACCAGTCCTCATTATTAACACTAACTCCTTAACTTCTGTGCTGTCAGATCAATTTAGACCTACAGTACATACACTCAGATATATGCTCCAAGCCGTTGTGTTCTCCTCACCTACAAGTGTGCACACCCACAGTTACGTACAGGGCAAACAAATGCTCCAATTACTCAACTCAAATGGTGATTAAATGTCATAACTGCAGTTATTTAAAGACATGTTTATCTCCAGTGTGAGTGTTACTGTGCTGAACGGGCGTGTTTCATTAATCTTTACAGGTGAAACTATTGGTGTGTGTTTGTCCTGTGGGTGTGTGTTTGACAGCCGCTTTCCAATGCAAATGTGAAGCTTGGTCAAATTCGACAATGAAGCAACTGATGAAATGTTTTACATGATACAGTGGTGGTAATATTTACCACAAGAAGGCCCAGGCTGAAAATAACTAATAAAAGTTATTTTTTGAAATGTTTTTGATCAATAGACATACTTTCTACATTAGGGACAAGGACTTTCACACTACATTTTTGTAAACCCTTTTTCACTGTATTCACAGTAGATATAAGACTTTCACCCATCAGGAAGCTGCTGTTTATAGCTGAGGAAAGGGACAACGGCATAAAGCCTGACGTATTTATTTTAAAGATCAACTGCACAGGGGCAGCATCAGGCTTAAAATTAAGCATCAGATGACAGACACCACACACTGAACAGTAAAGAATAAGTCCTCACATCAGTCTCCAGCAGGTTGTACATGCTAGTCTCGGCCACTTCCTTTGACTCATGAAACTTCTCCAGGGCCTGTCGAACCTCCTCATCTGGGATCTTGCCCTGGCGCTTTTTCTTGTAATCGTAGTCCAGGCGACGGCCTTCCAGCTTCTTCAGGTGGTGCTGAGGTGGTCGGAGACATAGTTAGTTTAGGAGTGGGCGCAGAAGTGATCACTATCTTGCATTTAACAAAATTGCCATTCAATTCACATGTAAGTGTACCTGTATCTCTCTGAGGTCCTTGTCACAAAGCCCTTGCAATGGATCAATGAAGTTCTGTTTGACATCGATATCTAGAGAGTCTTTGACCTCTGCCAATCTCTTCATGGCCTCTCCAACATCTACTAGTGCTCCGCCTGAACCACAAAGACAAAGATTAATAGCTCAGTGAAATTAGAATTATAGTTTGTACCACATTATTAGTTATATCACAGTTATGTCACCATCAGACCACACACAAAGAAACATAGTATTCTCACAGAACCACACACAGACACAAATAAAGAAATTCAGTACTTAAAATAGTCAAAAAGCATTTCATAAGCTCTGTAAACAGCTTGGGTGCAATTCATCAGTTGTTATTTTAAGTATACCACACACAGATATACACTATGCACACCCAAAAACCCAAAATAACAAACTCCAACCAAACCCTCTGACAGTGATTTACTATCCCAAACCACAATGCACATACAAACACACATATCCTACCAAAGTTAGTGTCCTCTCCAAGTTCCCGTCCAAACTTGCCCATGCACTCCCCTAGCAGCCCCTCGGCCTGAGGGTAGCCTGGATTTTTCACCTGACCACGGATCTTAGACATGGTGTTCAACATGGACAGTTTGGCCCGTGATGCTGTGGAGGGGAGTTGAAATGAATTTAATCAAAAGGTTCAAACTTGAAATAAATGCATGAAAACAGGTTTTGTTCTCACCTGGGTTGGGCTGAAGGTACTCTGACGTTTTGGAGATAACCTCCACTACCGCTTTACTGGTCACATCTACTTTCTACAAAACACAGCAAGCACAGATACATCACAATTGCCCAGCAGAGCTACTGTAATCACACAGACTGAGATAAAACAGTGACAGGCAATGAGGAAAGTGGTTAAACCCTTTGTAACCACTGCTAGCTCATAGGCCTGTCAGCAGAGTTAAAGTACTTTTTAAAATACAGTAGGTTATTTTCCATTCCCATCATGTTTACTTTGTATTTTATAGTGACATCAATCAGTACCTCAACGTGCTGGTGTGACTGAAAGCTGAAAGCACTGAAGTTATTTCTTAGAACAAAAGCAAAAATGTAAACTAGGGCTAATCAATGAATCTGCTGATTATCATCAAATGATCAGCAGGTTTTCCCAGAGCCCAATATGATGTGTTTGTTTGCCCAACAGTCCAGACATAAAGGACATCCAATTTACTATCATATTACAAAGACCAGCAAATACTCACAGTTCAGAGGCTGGAAAGCTGGCATTTTACATTCAAAAATTACAAACAACTGTCAAGGATTGACAATCAAAATGTTGACAGATTTTCTGTCCTTATCGTTTTGACTCTTAACGTACAACTAATGGCAACGAGGTTTTTATCATCCACACAGCTTTAAGGAGTTTCATGAACTTTGAGGTTAGGAAATGTTCTAAACCAACAGAGGATGATGTAATGCTTTAATTGAGGTTCAAACATCAGTAACAGAAGTCTCATATACTTTGTTTGCATACTGTGTGTACAACCAACCAGGCATACAGATTTGGCCAAAGTGTTTGTGTTTATCTTTGAAGACCACAGAAAGATTCGGATTCTCTCACCCGTTCCAAGTCTCTGAAGTCATCATCTAGTTTAGTTCCTTCCGCACCTCCGACTTTCTCACTCACCATCTAGAGGGAGAGAGAGAGGGAGATGGAGGAAAAAGGGGGAGGAAAGGCAGAAGGAGTGCCAATTAATTAATGCTCCTCATAAGGTTTTGATTCGAGTGTGGAACAGGCCTGAGCTCATCTCTAATTTACACATCCACATGCCTGCTCCGTGGAGAATATGTGCTGATGAACATTTCTTACCCTGCGTTGCACAAATAACATATGAATGTATAAAAACAGATCATTTTGTAGAAATCACACAAAGAACAACAGCACAAACAGTGTTATGCAATCCTTTTTGTTTACACTTTCCAGGATGAAAAAATGCTGGACCAGCTAACTCCATTACTTCTATTTCAAAAATGACAATATGCTACAATTTAAGTCAACAAAAACATGTCGATTGAAAGCATATGTATTTCCAAGTGAGATCTCTGAGCATGTATTTAGGCCAGAGACAAAAGCCTAAGAAATGGAAAACATTCCCTTTCCTGTGCATGTACAGTACAAGTATTTTACTTAACATCCTTCTTGGCTAATTCCTTAAATTGGGAGCAGGGTTTGTGCTTTTTCAGAGACACAAGTCAGCCACAGAGAACTGGAAAATAAATATAATCCGGCTTTGTAATGAGTCTGTACTGCTGTGACTTCAACATAGTTAAACACTTGACTGCTGTGTCCATGCTACATGGTTCCATTTCTGAGTTTCTCAAAGTGGAATGGGCAGAAAAACAACTCCAATCACCACCAGTCAGATAATGAAAATGGCACGCAACAACAGTCCTTGGTTGCAGAGTAAATTGTAGACCTATTATCCTGCAAAGACAAAAGGGAACCACAATAACTACTTTGTGTTTTCGCTTTGATTCCAGTCAGTATTACTCACAATACTTACTCGTAATAAAACCTGTAGCGCTGTAACGCTGTAACAGCCCTGTTGTTAATCTTTAATTATTTCCCACCAGTATTAACAGAGAGTGCATTTCAAAGTGACTAGATAGTTAATGAAACACCGCAAGAGAGCCCAGGAGAAAGAGATAAATAATTGAGAATGGCTTCTATAAGATTCAAATGTTATTCTCTATAACACTATAGTAGATGTTATTGGTGTTCTAAAATATGTGTCAACAATACGAGTGATTTGTAGCATTGGTCTGTACTATATAGAGTAGGCATGTATAATTTAGCACAAGGCTCCTGACACCCTTACAGATCGGCCACAATCTTCTAGGTGGTTTACCACTCTGAACTGCTTTATGAGACATACACAACCGTCGTTATAAGAGTTTCAAGATCCCCTCCGCTTCAAAATGTCTGACTTGTATCTGTGCAGTTTTTCACTAGTGAGGTGTTTTCAAATGTCTTTACTGTAGGGGGAGATGTCTGTACACTGTCCTAAAATCTGAGATTCAAACGTGCTCTGGGCAAGCTAGATTTAGCTAACAAATTCAAAGGCTAAATGCTGTCTAGCAAATGCTAGTGGCAAAGAAACCTGAAACCTCCGGCACAGAGCAGCCTTGTAAGTTTGCGTAGTTAGCATAGCAAAAGATTTGACAGCAAATCTTGAAGACTGTGCAGTTTTTGGATGTAAACCTGACCCTTCTACTATGCAATAACACACTGTAACATCGTAGTAAATATTTTATGTTTCACAACCACTAATGCTGCGTCAGCCACTGCCCAGTACACGATAACAGCCAACATAAAAATAAATAAAATTTTAAAAAAAACACAAATAAAAGATGCCAATTCTTTTTAGCGCCAGTGCACCGGTACCGTTTATACAGAAGATATTTAAAAAACAGAAGGACAAAATAATGGTTGATGACATTAAAGAACGTTCGCACACGGCGATTTCATTAGACAGCTCAGACCCTAAAAACATCTCCACTGTGATTGGGTCAGTTAGATACCCGTTGTATGACTGATGCCACATTGTCACTGTGTTTTGACACATTACTGCTAGTTGCTGATTTTGGTGCACAAACGTCTTCAGAGCGTCCTTAAAAAGGATACAAAACGGCATGTTTCTCCGCTTAAAATCTCCTCTAACCTGCCTCTGACCGCCTGGTGCCACAACGTTGATCTAGAGTGACATTCTATCCGCAGTTTGCATGCGGTATTTTATTTTTAAAAATTGACCTGATTGTCTATAGCGTTTCTGTGTCAGACTTCGTGCCAGTGCACTCTACTCTGTGCTGCTTGACACGAGTGGTTTGTGGTTTTCGCTAAAATTAAACCAATATTCTATGTGGAGCAGAGCTACTGGGACCAGCTCAGAGGGAGTTTGGGGGTCTGCGTCTGGCTCAAAGACCATGGCTGAATCTCTTGTTCCCTCTAATGCTAGCCACTTTGATGGGCACTGCTCTTTCACCGGTCAATGTAGCGCAAGCAGCGGTGGTGGGCGGCGCATTCAAAGATCAAGAATTTGTCGATGAGGGAGAAAATCTTTTTATACTTTTCATGTGGGATAACCATGTTGAAATATAAACAATAGCAGAATATTTTCATATACTTTAAAAAAGGTGCCTGGAAGGGAACAATTAATATTTCCCTTTCCCTTCCTGTCAGATTTCTCACAAAACTCATCTGCGTTAGAGCGACAGCAGTTTGAGTCATTTCCTACATGACTGCTTACTGGAATTACTAAGAACGACTGAACTGCTTCTCGAAAGAACATAATGCTGCGTGGGAAAGCAGTAGTTTGATATGTTGTCACAAAGTTTAACATCATAGCTTTAAGTCGCTACGTTTAATAAATAAGAGCTTGTCTATTTCTTGTTCTAACAAATACATAACGGCTACTCTTGCCTTTAAACAGCAGCTGACACCCTTTTGCTGAACAGTCTGGGACGTACAATACTGTATCTATACTGCAGAATCTCTGCTGTATGCAGAAAGCACATGACAGAAGGCCTCGGGAGTCACAAGTAAAGATATAGCCTAAACTCTGAGCCTACTCAGCATTTCGCTCCCTACCTCAGGGGGAAGATTGCAGTCAGTAGTACTAAATCTTATATATTTTCTGGCACCCTAGTCTGCCTCACGAGACTTTTTAGAGGGGAAGAAGAATTTAATTCATAGTGCAGTATGTCACTATTTTTGTAGTTACTAAACTTAGTCTTTCCTGATTTTGGGAAGTAGAAAAGTGCATTTTGGGAGTAATTTGTGAGCCACTAAGCACGGTTGTATTTTCTTTCTCCTGCTAATGAAAACATCAGGTTCAGGGTAACATTACTATTTACATGCACACAGGCTTAAAGGAATGAAGCCCAAAAACATCCACAAAAGGTTATGATCTGGGAGTTTTGGTATAAACACACAGAGCTACAGAGGGATCAGTCTATAACAGGTATCCTCATCATAATGACTAGGTATTTAAGCTACTGGTAGTTAGTTCAGTGCTACTGCATTATCACAAAACCTATTTCAGGATCTTGTTTGGCTAAGGATGACTGAATATTGCAAGGCAGGAAAGTTGACTTATACAGAGGCCAAGTTACTGAATGAGTAGCAGCTTAATGTAGATTCCTATTGTTTCCTAACGTAGCTTGTCAAAAATCTGCTGATGAAACAACAGTTGGTGCAGAAAACGACATTATTTTCAGAGGGTTAGCTCTCTTACACATCAGACTTGTCTTTTTGCTGCGGCTGTTAAAGCAAACTTATGTAATAAAACATTTTAGGTGTAGAACTAAAAGGATAAAAGAAAATAGTTTTACAGATACAACATTGTATCCTGAAAACTAGATCTGTGTGGTTAAAGATCAAAAATACAGATATGAAAAGACCGGCGTATCACCAAGAGGAAATTCTATGTTTATCTGATATAGAAAGTGATGGTGTGTGATAGAGATTCATCAGCCTTTCTGGTGATAGACAAGAAGTAGTCTCAACGTATCAATTAAGAGTGTGAAATCAGGAAAACAATTTGGTTCATTTAATAAGGTCTCTTCCTTCATTCTTACTTCACTAAGACATGCCTCTTCTTGACAAGTTGGTACTTATGCTTTTGCAATGTTCCTACCTCCCTGCAGTTTAATTCAATCTGCAACCCACTCCTCGTTGCTTTCGGTAAATCAGAAAGCCTGAAACTACTCTCTCCTCCGTTATACACGCAGAAGTCAATCTCTGCAATCTTTCACAAGGACTGCCAGCACCTGTGTTACGGCTCATTCTAGATTAAGAGCAATAATTTCCCAGATTTAGAAAGGAATTACACTGCAGACAGATTATTACCAATCCTATAAATGGGGCATAATCCCACATGAAGTCTGCACCAAACTCTAATCTACTTTTTATCAACTAATCTCTCCTGATTTAACTGCGTCTTAACACCCGATATAATGAACGTATTGGGCAAGAAAGAGCCCTGCTTGCAAAAAACAAAGCTTCCTCATTCATTACCGATTCATTGATGCAGCAGGGGTGATGATGCTGAGACTACTGGCGAAACAACGCCGGGCAAAACAGTTGAACCAGACTTAACCTTTGCTGCAACGTAACGTCAAAGTGCTGTGTTGGGCCAACCAACGCATCAATGGCACTTTGCAACATGAACGCTGTATTTCCACTGTTTACCTCTCAACCGCGGTGATAATCCAGAGCTCTAAACGTTTTGTAGTTTTGTGTTTTGGACTCTGACAAACCTTAAATGCATAAATCTTTTACTCCGACTGGACTTCCTGGATCGTACTTCATCGCCGAGCATAGTTTCTCCACTGGATATCACGATTTATACTTTATTTTAATGCTACTTGGAATTCTTGAAACTAGCTGGCTGGCAGGTGTTGTACATTATTTTCAGGTAACCGAGCAGTATAACCGGACACCTCTGCACAGGTCTGCTGTTGTCCGGGACTGCTATTAAACTGAGGTAAAGACAACAACAGTGAGGTCTATCTGCAGAGCTGGGAGCAAGTGCTTTTTATGTAACCTATACAAATTTGATAAATATAAACATGAAGTCAAATGTGTTTCATATTTGCTTTGCATCAGCTGGTTCTTCACGTGTCACCCATTACAAACCAGAAACAGACATCTGGTTATTATCCCGTACTTAACCTCTTTATGTCCTCCATGTAAGTATTCCAGAAAACCAAATAACAGGGAAGGGGAGATAGTAAAGGAGGACAACAAGGGGGAAACACAGGGCACAGATTGCATTTCCACAGCCAACTTCCTGCATGCTTTCAGTGGAGAAAATCTGAGCTATGTCAAGTGTTATTGACTCATGGAGTTTTGGCAAGAAAAGCAGCTGCATTGCAGTCGGATAAAGGGAAAGCACACTCTTCTGCCTCCTCCTTCTCCACATCATTCCTCTGTTCACCTTCTAAGACACCGCTCTACTTAAACACCTTTCCTATTCCTTTTCATTACAGTCAGTGATCCTGTTCATTTTTTTTTTTCACAAGCAAACCAACAGGGATCTGACTCCGTTCCTGACAGGAAGCTGCTGCAAAAACCAAATGTCTTTCCTGCTTAGATCAGCAGGGGTAGGAAGAAAAAAGAGACTCAAAAACCCTTTTAACCGTCCCCGCCCATGACTAAAAGAGCTGGACAAATTAAAAACATTCACACCGAGGTTCAGATACGAAAAGACAGCAAGACTTTGATATGTCCCTGGTAGGCAGTTGCATTTCTAACCTAATGGTATTTTAGCTCTCCCCCCTCAGCAGCCCTATAATATTGATCTGGCTGAACAAAAGACTAACACAAACACAGCTGGGAAAAAGGTGAATTCACTCTGAAGAAGCGCCACAAAAACCTGATGTTGAGGTTATAATGCCTCACAGATGAACAAGGTCTCTCAGTGGAAACTGTTAACATAAATGTGTCAATACTTGGTAGGTTTATATTGCAGGACTCTTTCATGTATTGTTGTTTTTTTGGGGTTTTTTTTTTTAAACTGTAGGAGCTCTGAGTCACCCGGAGAGTCCCCAGGGCAAACAGGCTATAGCTAATGTTTACCACAGGATGTGCACTTTGAATCTCAATTGGTGCACTGCCGGCTAACGTAACGTAAAAGCACAAACTGTGGAACACCTGTAAATAAGCAGATAACAGATAACAGCATAATAACGTTACTTAGCGTTACCTTAAGTTAAATTAACGCTCGTTCAAACTATCTAATCTAATCCAAAACGTCCGAAAGATGCTCATTAACTTTACCGCTGGTTAGCTGTAAAAAAAACACACACCGAGTGCCAGATAAAAGTGAATAACAGTGACATTATACACACTGACACAGAACATGTCTAACATTAGCTCCCTGCTGACACAACACAACGCGTTATTAACATTAGCCAACTAACTACACACCGCTAGCTCTACAATGCTAAACGAGGCTAACTGCTAACGTTACATGACAGTTGCTAGCGTGAAGAAAAGTTTTGCAAACCTGGCTGGCTTTATAAAACTGCTTCTTCAAGCCCGCTACAGACATCTTGAAACCCCGGCCGTCTTCAGCTTCCGACGAAGGCGTTAAATAGGTCGCGATATAACTAAAGTTAGCGATATATAGTTAGTTTTTAAAAAAGGGGCCAGTGCGAAAAATGTTTAGGAGGAATCATAGGACCGCACAGCCGTCACTCCGAGTCGGGACACGCCAACTGACCACGTCCACGTCGAGGGTGATTCTTCCCACTGTCACCGCAGATAACGGAACGAAATGTGCTAAATCCACCAATATGTACAATATTATCTCCCCGGACTGGAAGCGCACACAATCTATAACTTGGACGTTGTACAGAGCACCAAATCTGCACCGGCCGCTTTGAAGAAATCAGTTTCCCGAGTTTACACAGTAGTGGACTCTAATGGATTCTCATGTTAGTGCACACTGCCCCCTGCTGGATGCAGCGGGCACACACCTGTCCACAAGCCAGATGTTCCCATTCTCAAACAATATACTCATAGCCTTGTTATGCCTGAAGACACAAAGAAAATAAAAAAAAACAGACTTACTGTGCTAGTCCTGATAGGTAAAGATACATGAAAGTTGTTTATGTATGTTGTATGGTTTCAAACACCGCTGCATTGCTAGGGTGCCCCAGGGCAACTAGGCCCCTATATAAACCCCCCTTCCTCCCACTCTCTGTACAATCTGTACAGTTGTTCTATACTGCACACATGTGAAAATGGTCAGGTTTTGGACACAGGCGCTCTCCTCAAGATAGGACGCTCCAGATTAGGTAATAAAGCAGTCATTTTCTAGGACATTATAAGGATTATCGTGTCAGTTTAGTTTTTTTCTGTATTTTAGTGGTTAATATCCTCAAACAAAATTCAAATGAAATCAGCACAAACCGTTTGACACACAATAAGCGTGGAGCTCTCTGGGGTCCATGGAGATCTGGTGTCCCAGGGCAGTTGGCCTTCTTATCTATTCAGTAATCCAGCCTTGGCTTGAAAACACCCAACTGTCCCATCTTTATCTTAGCAGGAATAAAAATGTACTTAAGCACCCGGTTGGGTGTCTGAACAGCTACCATATGGTGCCAATAATGCACTACATGTTCCCAATACAGGGTATCATTAACCTTTGCTTTTATGCATATGGTCTGGAATGACTAAAGCACATGAAAATGCATATATAGATACACCTTATTTCTATACATGCAGCTCAAAATACAGTGCAATGCAATATGGGCTCTTTGAGTCCAATTCAATTTACGTCAGAAGGCTGTAGTATGGTAATTACAGTGCATATACTATATAACCTAACCATGTTGTAAATCATACAGCATGTTATAAAACCCAAAGACCTTTTTCACAGCAGCCCTTTTGACATAAAGTAGCAGAGTAAAGACAGGTGTTACTAAAGGTACTAATTAAGGTTCAGTTGAATTTAGTGTAATAAAGCTTTTCCAGTGAGCCAACATGCACAATGACACCCTGACTCTGTTAGACCTGAATGGAAGAGAACTTTACTATATTGGTTGACAATTCACATTAACTGTATTATTTGAATTAACCAGGAAATACAATTTTATATTTATCTTTAAATCGTTTTCCTTAGCTGTAAAATTGCCAATAAATGGCTAATTAAGATTTTTTTTTATCAGAATATATTGTTCAAATTGTCAAAATCATCTGACGAAAGTAGAAATCCCTCAGATGTAATAAATATTAACTAAACAGTTTATTTAAAGAAATGTGAACTGTGATGGATGTATTTTTTTATGTGATAATAGAATATAACATCTTAATTTATAAACAATAAAATTGGTTCATTTGTGTAGATGATTTTGGGTGCAGTCAGTTTCAACAAACATACAAAGATAAAGCCATAATAGTTTTTCTTTTAATTGTAAAAAGACTTTTATTACATTCTTAAATCCACATATTGTATCACCATTGTGCAATAACACTTTACTGTGTTAAAACCTCTTGGGCTTTATATCCATAACATATCATAAATTATTTCTTATTAAAATCTATATTGATTTAATAATAATAATCTTAAAATAGAGTGAACATATAAACAGAAGGATCATGACAAAAGAGAAACTTTTAGGGAGACATCTTTAAAAACGCTCTTTAAAAAAATAGAATTACATCTCTCCAAGACAAAAAGGACACTAAACTGAGAAAAAACAGTACATATAAGGATAAAAATTGAGAAACAAAAGATCACAACAAAACCAACACAAGATTCAGAGATTATAGTCCATCTTTTATATTTATATTTTACTATCTTTACTTTTTTTAATATCCTATTTCATCTATGACTCAAACTCAGAAAAAAGTCTTGCAATAATGATATTAGACAGGGGTAAAATCTTTGATACTTCTGAAATCAAACATTCACAAGAACATGTACTGTACACAGTGATCAAGGTTTAAGGTCTTCTATGTTGTTGGTGCAAGGTGTCTTGCTAGCTAGACTAACTGCAGACACTGTAGGACAGAGAGCCCAGCTATCTCCCTGAGTAACTCTAAACAGAAATGTAAGTGCAGATCTCCAGTACTGCCCCCTGGACAGCTTTTAGGCCTGCAAAAACTATAAAGTACACTGACTCCTTTGAAATCAGCATGTCTAACATTCTAGGACTGGACACATAAAGTATTGCACTTTGTTACAATCTCCAAGTGTCATCTGGCCATATCAGCTGATAGCTGACCTGTGTAGTGGTTGGTTGTGTATTTGGTACATTATATTCTAAATAACATTACTTGTTGTGCTGCGAGGTTAACTGTGCTGGAGTGCTTATAAAAATATTAACTGTAATACATGGCAACAAAGGCCCAACATACTGAGAACAATGGGAAAGACATTATTGCACAATCCCACCATGCCACTGTTGTACGTACCCAGAAAAGGGCAATACCCCTTCATACTATGTCAGATAATATAGTGTATGGCAAACAGCACTGTCCCAGCAGTGCAAAGCAAACCTGGCTGACATTAAATAGAGCTCCGACATGTCATGTGATTGTCTTAAACCGCTCCAGATAACAAAAGCATTGTTTTCTCCGATTACAGCTATTCTTTTCGAGTAGCTGCTTTAGGATACTGGTAGAAAGATACTTTTCTACAGCAATCCAATATGTCCCCCTACATAGAAGAAAAAGGTTTCATCTGGACACACCCTCATGTGTCTTCAGAGGCTTTTCTACTCATAGATCTGTATATGAGTAGGACTTCCTGGACCTAAAGGCATGAACTGCTCTCAAATGTCAGAAAAGCAGTCAGAAAGGATAGGTAGTATAAACAGATCCAGCAATTCAGTTGTGTCTTTTGTCCAGTTTTAGGAGCATAATAATATAATTTAGTATCATTAATTAAAAAAAAAAATGCAGTCAAATTTCTACACTAATTATATTTTTAAAGAAGCTCTCTAGTATAAATGCAGAAATACTAACTCAGGGGGGTAGCTGATGGCTCTGTCAACCCTTTGCTGTGCCATGTAGTGTTTAAGGAGGGTGAGGTAGTAAGGGAGTGGGGAAAGAGGAACAGAGGATTTAATTGTCCAATCAGAACACCTTGGCGACAGTGCAGTCCGCCTGACCCCGGAGCAGTCAGAGTTGGCGCAGACAGTAAATCCCCTCTAACTGATGTCTAAGGAGCTTAAATAACACCATCACCCACCTGTCCACTTTCTATTATCTTCCCCTCATGCAACCCTGCAAACATTTCAACATCAAACTCTCAGTTAATTTTTTTTGTCTTTACTCCAAAAGTCTTTTTGAACCTGCTGCTGGATGGTCTGGGGCGATGGCACTCTCAGGCGGGGCTGAGGTGTGACAGTTCCAGATACTCCTCCACGAGAGCACATAACCGCCGCAGTGGTCGGCTGCTCAGCACCTTGTTCATACAGCTTCTCTACAGCGGGAGGGGGTATCTAGCATTTCTGACTGGTTTAACATAAGTTTCACAGATGGCAGTCTGAGTGCGAACCCGTAAAATCTTGTGCCAAGAGTTCGTTTCGGATTTTAACGAGGACTCATAAGTGCTAATTATCCACTAGATTTTCAATTCAGCAACAAAAATCTTTCCATCCCAGAACTACAATGTTTGGGCTGGCAGTGTCTGTTTGAGAGACCTGAGCACAAGCGCATTACCCTGCTCCTCACCTGGGATGAATACACGACTGCTCCTCTCTTAAATGATTATATAAGGTGTTATTATATATGTATATATCAAAAAGGAACATCTGAAAATACTTTCACAACACCTCTCACTCTCTCTCTCTCTAAGTGGCATTTGCAAAGGGAAAAGGTATTAGGACTGAGGTCATTGATTGCATTTAAAAAAAATAATAAAATAAAGAGCTCACATCAGTGTGTGAGAGTGCTCTTGTAAAAATACCTACAAAGATCAGTATAAGTGCTGTGTTTTGTGCTCTGTGTGCAAGAGTTTGTAGGTGCATGGTGGCAGACGCTCTTGAGCGTTTACCCATGATTCCCACAGTAAAAAAAAAAAAACCCTGTCTGTTTATGAGTTTGATCGTGGTCCCTTTAAACAGTTTGTTCATACGTTACGAAACTGCAAAATACGGGCGCTACCAAAAATATTGAATGAGACAATAAACTGTTACGAGACTGACAACGGAAACAGGCATCATTACTGCAAAACTCCACAAAGTGGCTGAGGATTTAAAGTATGTACATTCTATATCAAGCCTAGGGCTGTGCTGAATGGTTAAGGGGAAAAGGGGTACATTCAACAATAGCTTAGAGGAACAAAAAAAAAAGTGAAATTTATATTAGAAAGGAATTCAACATGAAGAGTCTTATGGTCTCGTCATAGAAAAATATTTTTGAGAATACAAATTATGTAGGCTACTCTTTAATAATTTCTTTAACTCCGTAAAAAAGAGGTAACATGCACTGAGTACCCAGCAGCAGTTCCTGTAGTGTTACGTCGAAGCTGAATGAACTAGCTTGCAGGGCGGGAGGTGAGAGGAGTGTGTCCTAAAGTGTAGCGTGGAGGATTGTCATTGAGCTGCTGGTTGGTTTTGCCCTCAGCTGGTTGCCACATTTTTATCTCCCCCTCCCTACGCCTCAATGTCTCTATTTGAATCAAGCTGTTTTAGCTAAATGGTGCTAGCCCTCTGTGGAGTCTGGGAAGGTGATTTCACTGCCAAAAACCTCCCGGTACAGAGGAGGAAAGGTGTACGCTGTCTCAGGGTGAACCAGACGGAAAAACTCCAGTTTGTCGATGTGAAGGTTGCAAATGGACTTCATTATGGGAAGCTTAGACACCATCTAGAGGGGAAATACAGAAGGGCATAAAAAGTCAAAAGAAGAAAGAAATACCAATTTAACATCTTATTAATATGGTAGTTGAATAAAGTATCAAGTCAGTTTTTTTCACCAAACTGTACCTTAGCTAGTTTCTCTTCTGATGCTCCATCTTTTTGTAGGCAGCGCTGCAGAGCCACATAGACTTTCTCCTGCAACTTCTGGACCTTCTGAACATCTGTCAGCCAGGGTCGGTCTGAGGGAAATTATAGTAGAAAATGACCATTAGTAAAGTAAATTATAGTATAGTATATAGTAAAGTTTTACAGCTATTGCATTATACAGGGTTTCTGCAGGTGTCAACAGGTTAAATGTAAGACTTTTTAAGACTATTGTGAATGCAGATCTATTTTACATCCACAGTGGCACAAAGCAGTTTCCTTTTGCAGTTATAACATGATCAATACATTTAAAAGCCAGACTGAAAATGTCTTTATAAACTTTACACAAATAACGTTAACTTTATTAATACATTTTCAATCCCTGTAAAACTCAAATGATTGGATTTTAGACTTTTTAAGACCCTGCAGACTCTCTCATTATAACATGCAAAATCGTGGCTACAGTCCATTAGGGAGTTTCAAACTGGTACTAAGCCATTATCCTGTCAGCGCCAATACTGTCTCTATGGGTGCAGCATTACTGTTGTAGGTGTGTTGTGAATTTTCTGTTGACAGTATGCTCATTTGAAGTCTGTGGCAGCAATATCAGCAAACACATTTCTTCTCCTTTACTTGTAGGATGTCTGGATAGGATGTGTGAAATGTGTGAAATGCTGTGCAGTGGCCTCTACAGGTTCATTTCACCAATTTAGTATGAGTGTAAATACTACAGTGAGCAGGCACGTAGCTGTTTTCACAGATAAACCCATTCCCTTAAAGAAATATAATCTCACCTGGTGAGAGCAGCACAGCAGCACTGAAGAGAGCCATCTCTTCCTCGGACATCTGTATACGGCTCAGGCTTTTAGCTAAGTCAAACACTGCGTTCACAAGGTCGTCACAACCTAGCGGGAAGGAGAAGGATGAAAAAAAAAGTTAGCGTCAAAAACTGAGACTACTGACTGTCATGATTTTGACACAGATCAAACAGATAAAAAGGTTCCCCTGTTCCTCCTTTCATCAAGTGTATGTGTTGACTCACCAAGGGCCTTGAAAAGCTGAGCAGTGGCAAACTTTCCGTCAAAGAGCAACGTATTATTGATGGGGTTATAGGCCCGACACATACGGATCAGAAGAACATCCATGCAGCCTGTGGACACACAAAAAAAGAAGAACATTTAGCAGCATATACACACACATCTAAATAGTTGCTTGGCTCACTCCTTGTTATACGGATTGGGTCGAACTCATGACTGTTACAGCCTCATGTGAGTTAATGCTAGCCAAACTGAAAGACTGAAATGTGGAGTAGCTTCTTCAGATTCATTAATGGTGAGGGTCATTAGATAGCAATATGCAAGTTTAATAAAAAATTATGTTTAATATTGTAAAGTTGCAAGGAAAAAAGTAAATAAAAAACTCTAAATGAAAAAAAAGAAAAAGTTGTTGGAGGAGATGAAAAACAACTCATCAAGACAAATTCATATATTAACAGTGCTTCTTTCAATATTCAGTAATTGGAAAATTATTTACTGATCCATAATTTGTACTGCTGCACACTATTTATTCAACAGATGTTAAATGTGTGCTGTCACAGTTATATAAAGTAAAACATTCTTTAATGACAAGGTCATTTTATATAATTTACTATGGCTGACAGGGGGATTATTACATGTAAAACTAAGGGTGTGATTAATGTAATTGAGGCAGACTATGTTCATTGTCATTAAGTCACACGTTCACACCTGACATAGAAGGTTTTTTTTCTGTGCTTCCTGGTTGTTTTGCATAATTACAGTTGATTATGTTGTGCTGTGGAGTTGATACCTTAATGGTGATGATACTTACAGGATATTCTGTGCCCTACAATGATAACACTGGAATCTCTTTCCACCCTTCAGGTTTCACTGATATGTATTGGTGTGGAACCTTTTCAGACCAATTAAGTCTTCTGACTGATCATCTAATTGGTCTAAATGCCTTGTGATAACACATTTGTGTGTCCACTCATTCATTTAATCTTCGTTAAGGATTACAAAAGAAAATAACTTGGCTGCCACTTAAAGCCATTTATTGCTTGTTTAGACCGATTGATAGTTTTGCTTGTCACTGAAACCCATACATCAATGTCAGATCTCCAGTACATGAGGAAATAGTTCACACACAGGCCTAATTTTAGTTGAGGCACTTATGATGATGACAGTATGATGACCGGAGAAGGAATTGTAGAGGGAGCAGCATGATTAAAACAAGGCTGGCCATTCTTCAGAAGCAGAACAACCAAGCAGCTCTTCTTGCATGTGATATGTGAACTCTGTGGGGTCAGCTAGCACTTGAGGGTAATATACTGTTCTTATGACAACAGCTATCTATGTCACAGCTCATTTTTTTCAAAGTAACAAAAACATACACACAGCACACCAGTTGTCTTGCTGGAAGCACATCTGTTGTAAAAACACCATATATATATATATATATATATATATATATATATATAATATACAGATTTTAGACTGTGGGGTGGGTACACTGGTGTCAGGCACTGACCTGCTTTGAGGAGGATAATCTGATCGTTCTGACAGAGGTCCATGAAGCCAGTGATGCGCTTGGCAAACTCCACCACATACTGGATTGCATTGGTGATGTGAATCGCACATTGTTGCCACATCACCTCAGCTGACTGAAAAGAGAAAGAGACAGGAACACTTTTATGAGAAGTGTAATAACTGAAAGGCATCCATACAAGTTGTATTGTTCTCTGTTGACTATGGATGGGTAATTTTAGGATTTTATTCATACCGATATCAATACAATACCAATACTTATTGATAGTCTTATTGATACTACTCTCCATAATTTGGTGCAGAAAATAAAGACATGACATGAAAAGATTCAACAATGGCAGCTATGCTATGTTAGCAGCACCATTTGTCACAGAGCTTATCAATATATTGGTGCTGACCAATCAGGAACCAGTACCAAAAGACGTCCTGACCTACAGTTTGATAATATTTGCTGCATCTCCCGTAGCAAATGTGTGATAAAACTGTTTGGATTTACAAACCCGACTGTAAGAATCAACTATGGAGATAAGCACTTTCATTTGTTTTATAGAAACTTCTTTCCAGAAGTGTTACAGCTGATTTCTGTTCAAGGTTAAAAACTGAAACCAGTCCTCTCTGAACCTTGTACAAGAGAACAGAACAGCATGATGATACCAAACTGTAGTGATATGAAACAATGTTTTATGTGTGGCTTCCACAGTTATCTTTTCCTAGATTTAGACTGTACAGATTCTTGAAAATGGCATGAAGGCGGTTGTACTGTCACATGCTTGTGTCACACATACCTTGTTCTGGTACGAGCGTGTCTCTTCTGGGCTATACAAGGTCCACGCCATTCTCTTCAGCTCCTCTGTGCTGTACTGGCTCGTCTCAATATGGGACTTCACCACACTCTGAGTTATACGCTCTGAACAGAGGGAAAGTTTTATTTAATTTTCTTCTTTGAAGTTTCATGTTGTTTTCAGGATATATGTAAGCTTCAAACACACAACACAAGTAGCCATTAAATAGCTGCTAGGCATTACAATTTTTGTACTGACCCATCTCCAGCAGGGAGCAGCCCTCGGGCAGTGGGTTGAGGATAGCATGTGAGAAGAGTCCAGAGTCGTGCAAGAGCTGGTACTCATGCTTGATGCTGTGGTTGGCGTCTACAAAGTCCAAGTTGGTCTGTTCTGGTGAACTCTGAGAGGATGAGCTGCTGCCTGCACTGCCGCCCAGCGTGTCCAGGTTACAGTAGTCTCCACCTGCATCATCTGGGGTCAGTGGCAGGTCAAAAAGCAGGCCTTCTGGCAGCGTGGTAATGTCGTCCAGATCACTGAGTGCGGCGCCGGAGCCTCTTCTGTAGGTGCGGCTGTGGTCGGCCATGTCACTATTCTCCTCTCGGGCTCCCAGCCCCGCACACTCCTGGGACTGCTGGTGCTTCTGAACCTCTGCATACAGGCTGTCACGCTGCTTTTTGGACATTCGACCAAACTTGACCGCTGCAACAGGAGGATGTCGAGACAAGAGTTAAACATTGAAGAAGATACAGTCTAGGTCAAACAAAGATAGCATGAGTCACTCAATGTGAAATGCAAAAAGTGGGAGGTCGAAACTCTGAGTTAATTAAATATAGATCGAGTAGCTGAACTCACCATCACGGCTCATGCCCAGAGCGAGACACTTCTGCAGCCTGCAGTGCTGACAGCGGTTACGGTTGGTCCGGTCAATAAGACAGTTCCTCTGTCGTGAGCAGGAGTACATAGCATTGTTCTGCTGGCTACGGCGAAAGAAACCCTACACACAAAGAGAGACACACACAAAATGTGAATCAGTGGTAAACAATGTGACCATCTAAATGCTTGTTGGGTGTTCAAGCATTTACACTATGGTGACAGCAATACCTTAAAGCTCTTGGATATCAGTTTTTACCTGCTTTTACGACTAACTAACAACCCATGAGGGAAATGGAGGATAGCTCACCTTGCAGCCTTCGCAGGTGATGACACCATAGTGGATCCCTGAGGATTTGTCCCCACAGATTTTACAGGGAATCACCTCTATTTGAGCTGGAGAGAGAGATACAAGGAACAAAATCAGTGAAATAGTACAAACATTGAATTAGGTACCTTAAACATAGAATAGTTAAATTATGCAGTTAGTTACCCCGAAACAAATAAATACATGGATTTTTTAGAAAGAATATGATTAAATACTAATTGCTATCATTGGATAATGGCAGACATAACACTGTGTAGTTATTTCATTTGGCACAAGGAGTCAATTAATAGAAAATGGATTATTGTAAGAATGTATGTAAAAATGTTCTGCTTTTCTCTGTTGTACATCATTGAACATTTTAGATTTTTTGGCTCTGGGAAACTGAGCATGTGTGGGAATTTTCCTTTTCTGACATTTTATAGATTATTATAGATTTTTTAGTGGAGAAAATTGCTGGCAGATTAATCAGTAAATAAAGATAAGTGTTGCAGCATATTATGATATATTTTTGTTTGTAAAGCACTTTGTAATTCTGTGTTAACAAAGTGCTATATATAAAGCTTTACTTACTTACTGGCTTACATAGAATGTAAGGAGCTCTATTTCAGTTGTTATGCAATTGCCATCTACATAAACATATATAGAAGACCCACCCCAGGCCACAGGTATGTAACATCCAGTCACATTGCAATACAGAGGCAAGTTACAGGAACATTCAACATTTGCTTTTTAGGCCTATCATGCTGAGTGCAGATACCGTCAATAAAACACCTCAGTCATATCAAACAAAGAGGGCAACCTGTAATAAATCAATATTTACTCCAGACAATCCTGATTCTTCACTCAAACTGAACTCAAACAAGAAAGCCACCACCTTGCATGTGATATTTCTCGGCGCAGGTCGATTTCTCACAAAGAATTCATGTTATTTAATGATGACAGTCAAATGTTATCTGCAAGGTTTGAAATGGAGCTTACAGTGATGACAAAGGGACATTGTTCCGGGATTGTGAGGGAACAAGAGAAGTGTTAAGAAGACAGAGGATCTGGTGATTGACAAAGCAAACTGCGTATATATTGTACAGCTTGTGTTCATAGTGGAAGCCTGAGCCTTTTAACCCAGGAACAGCCTGTCCTTTTCATTATGTTGTTTATCTAAGTAGCTGGGCCTCCTCAAGCCCAGAATAGCAGGTCAATTGCATTAGCTGAGGCCCAGGGTTATAAAGTTTCACGGCTGTCTCTCTCTCTCTGTCGCTCCTTCTCCGCGATGAAAAAAATGTTAGCAGGTTAACAAAGGCATATTGCTGTGCTCAACCCTCCAAGGCCTCCAATTGTAACCCACAAAACAACTGCGACTGACTGTTACTGTGTAGACTGTGTGCAAGATTTGATTTGGCTCAGGCTGCAGGGTGTGCCAAACAATCCCTAAACCCCCTTTGTTGGGTCACACAGGGCATTAGGTAACCTGTAAATCGCCGCAGCGGCTTCAACCGGCCATCACAGCTCTTTGGGAAATTGCTGTTTTTTAAAAGCTCTTTTCTAAACTACTCAATCCAACCAATCCCACGTCACACACTGAGGCAACGCTAAAGACGTTAGTGACTGACATTATCCTGAAAACATTTTCCTTGCACAAAGACGTTCTGTGCAGTGCAGGTGATACGTTTGAGTGTTTTGGTCCGGTTGGGTAGAATTCCTACTGGCCAACGCAACTCAGGGATATAAATATATAAAGGGCAGTGGAAAAAAAACCCCTTCTCCACTGCTCCCTTTATCGCTCCCCCTCCAGCGCCTCACCCCGCCCTTCAGTCTGTTATATAACTGCTGTCTGGCCGCATTCCACCAACACACTCATTCAAAGGTGGTTGCCCCGGCAACGGTGTGACGATCCTCCCTCACCCCTCCTGCACTCCTATTGGCTGGCGAGCGAGCAGCTTTGCCTGTGACTTGCGGCGTCACCTGCCAGTCAGCTGAGCAGCGCTGTCCGGCCCAGAGAGCAGGAGCTGCTCCACTGACACAGTTTCCCATTCAGCGAAGGGGGAGGCGCCCGCCGTGGCAACCTCACAAGGAACACCGTCTGGTTTCTTGCAGGTTTTAAGGTGGAACCAAATCTGACTTAAGTAAAGGGAGGATGGAGGGGCGAGACCCCCCCCTTTTTGTTTTCGAGGTAAAACAATGTAAGTAAGTTTGATGACTGATGGATGAATGACCAGTTGAAGCTGAACTGCCACACTGGAGACTTTACAACTTGCGCGACATCTGGAATTAATTCTGAAAACATCCAGTACAGTAAGCTGCAGCAGGGGGAACAGACATAGCTAATAGTGGCTCTCAACTTGTTGCAGCATGTCAAGTATTTGAGTGAAATTTCAGCTGTGTTTGAGCTAGACCATAAATCTATTTTTACTCTGGTGCAGTTAGCTGCCCAGAGATTCCTTCTGCCGCTCTGATCTACTGGTAAATAAATGTTGCACAAATCACAACACAGCACCGAAGTGTACACAGTTTAGTGTAAATAACAGTGTCTGGAGCAGTTATTGGTGGTCTCACACAGTCTACTCTGCCAAAATGAATTTTCTGGTACGTTGCATGAACAACAGTTTCTTTATTCTCCTCAATATATTTAGAGCGTTTCTGTGAATCTCTGTTGGAACACAAAACGTCCTCACACAGACGAGAAAAACCACAGTTCTGTTTGTTTAAGTGCTACTAGCATCTGTTAAAAGAAGCTACGAGTTTTAACACAATAACCTCTATGTTGTAGACAGATTGTAATCATAGTAATAATATTTTAAATGATATAACTTGGCTGGGTAAATACTAGCTTTAAAGCTTTAATGAAGCTTAAAGAACATCCAGTATACATGTTGATAGTAATTCTATATAGCTCAGAGGGGTTTTGTTGCGCAGTATCTATTCCAAAGTGTTGAAAGAGCCATCATAATTTGTATTACGTTTTGAGAACCTGACACTTCTTACATAAGAAGTTACACTGAGAACCTTTAAACTCAAACATGATGTGAAGTGAACGTTCTCCATCGGTGCTGTAAACCCTCTGCTTGGGGAACTTTGTCCTCTCATCCCAGCTAATCAAACACGGTCCAAGGTCCTATTTACTTTGCACTTTACATTTACCTGACAGACTGTATACATAACCTATTCTAAGGGGCTTCTGGAGGGATATATGGTGCATTGCACAACGTACTGTAAAGTCGGCAGTTACTTTAATATCCAGCGATGTCCTCTGTCCGTCATTCTGTCTTTCTACATATCTCCCAACTCAGCATTAACTACCGCGTGTTTGCTATGCAGTTACTGTATGTGAACATTAAGGACTGCTTTTTCTCTCGTCCCACTAACCTACCTAGAGAACGCTGACTGTACAATATAGCATGACACTAAACCCAAACTCTTTCAAAGTGCACTGCAGGTTCAGGTGATTACGCAGCAGGAGAGGAACATTTAATAGTAACAGTGTTTTACTCTGTATTATGTTTTCAGCCAAAAACAGCGAAGAGAAGGGACTGTTCCTCGTTACAGGAGTGACTACCTCTCCTCTTTCTATGTAGTCGGCCCGACCAGGTGAGGATACTGCGACTGTTTCCCCTCTTTTTCGTTGCATACACTTCCCTTCATGCTATGGATCATCCCACTATTAACGATAAAGATTACGCCTGCCAAGGAGCCAAGCTTCATTCTCTGGACCTCTCTGTAATCCCTCGCCATTGATCAGAGGAGATAAAGTGCATTCACTTGATCGTGCTGTTTATGCTGCTCAAGCCCTAAACCCAAGTGGGCCTCTGCAAAACAAGCCAAGCTAGACTGAGGAATTCAGTTCACAGCGGGTCATTTTGCAGGAACACATTTAGGACTACGCCGCAGCAATCACAGTCGCCTTGAATTCAAATCTCTTTACGTCTTTTCCGATGTCACTTATCCTCATGCATGCTTGGTAAACAGATATAGTCTATCAAAAGTACTTTAAAAGATAGTCTAAAGAAAAATATTATTCCTATGTAATCATATGTGCCTAGAAGTCAAACTATGCAAAGATCCACAGATCCATGCTCACATTTTGACACTATGCCTGCATGCTAACAACGCTTTAGATAAGGGGACTGGAATCTTAGCGTGCAGTTGTCAGAGAGAAAGGGCACCTTGACACATACTGTGCCTCGCTGTGAACTTGCCCAAGGCTGCACACTCAACAGATAGTGGCTTTGGGGCTGAGCTCACAGTGGCCTTGCAAGAGCAGCCTTTTCCTCTTTACTGCTACCGTACCTTTGATCCTAACTGGGATAACTGAGCTCCAGCGTGCTCTTATAAGGTTTCAGCTCTGCACGCCATTAGTGCACCGAGGCACAACATCTACGAGTGCTTTGATAAAGTTTGTTATCTTGTTGCATCTTACCTGCCTAACCTGTTTGTGTAATTTCCAAGAAATAAGAGACAAAGTACGACAGCACTGATGATTGGAATCTATCAGGTGTAGATGACTGAGGAAAATTAAATATATATATATATATATATATATATATCTTGTGA